AGGAAGTAAAGAACATCAAAAAAACTGATAAATTGTAAAATACTGGAGGACACTGATAACATCCATAAGATAGTTTCAGTGAAATGATAGAGGTAAATCCCCATTCAAGTGGATTCAAGAGAGACTGGAAAGAGAGACCCAGAAACAAGTACAAACAACTCTTGAACATGTTGAAGAAAGAAAAATAAACAGGATGGTAGATTTAGCGAAGTCAAAATCCCCTCAAAACCAAAGAGTTCTTGCGATAAGAAAAAGAGAAGCATGTTGTATGCTGATAAATCTAGTAGACAACAAAATTCGTAGTGTAGGAAAAACATCCTTCGAGAAGCAAGCACGTGAGATCTAGTGGATGATGGAAGGGCTGGCCTTCACTGCTGCAAGGACAGTCCGTCTGCAATAACAGGAGGAAAGGTGCAGGCACAGACGCAGGCTGGCGGTGCGTCCTACGGCAATATTCTTCTGATTACTTCTATCTTTCTAGGACAATAGGATTTATTAGGGGAATAAGGTGCCAAAAAGCCCGTATTCTTTCCACAATGTTCTATGATGAAAAAGCGGCAGCATCGATAACAAAAATAGCTTTGTTCACTTTATACACTTTTTCTAAAATTTTGATCTTAGAAATCGATAATAATAACTTAGAAAGAGATAATAACAACACTGTGTATTTTATGGTTTATCAGGTGCTTTGCAGATATTACCTCGTATGATCCTGGCAAAAGTCTTAATGCACAATGGTAAGTGATGAGCCAGAATTCCAGTCCCAGCCTTCTGACTCCTGAGTGTGAGTTCCTTCCTTCCTCCCAGTTACTGAACTCTAATCTGGTACCTGTTACAGTTTACTGGCTTTATTTATGGACACGGCTGTATCCTCCAACACAATAAAGCCGTTGAGGGCTGCTACCTTTATATTCTATTACCTAGAGCAGAGATTCGATGTTGAACAAATGAATAAATAAAACTATCTCACACAGATGACACCGACATTAATTTGGAAACTCGGGGCAATGCATATATTGAATTTTGCATAGTCTCTTTTACAACCCAGCAGCCTTGCAAGGGCCTGGAATATATGTGTCAGCAGCATTTTTCAGTCAACATCCACCCCAACGCAACAGCAACCTTAAACACACAATAGGAAGAGGTCCAATAAGGACAATATCTGCCACCTAACAAAAGGAACTAAGCCCATCGCTCGAATTATTTGGAAGTGGGGGAAGGCTATGTAGAATGATTGTAAATTTAGCTGCAAGATACATTTAAAAGGCACTAACATAATTAAAACACACTTGCAGCATTTCAAGAAGTTAATCATACAGCAGAGCATTCAATTTGCAATTCGCTATTTCCCCCTGCTTATTCTGTCAGTGCAAAAACCAATTTTCTTTTAAAAGACTCCAATATTGAAGCTTGAGGCCAGAGAAGGACGACCACGCATAGCAGAGCAGATTCCACTACTCCAGTAAAAAGCAAAGTGAAAGCACAAGAGTTGAAAAAAAGCCAAGGTTAGAAAGGTCCCATGCTACGTGACAGTACCCTGACTCTCCCTCCTCCAGACCCTGTCACAGACACACTTGATCACACTGTACTGAGACGGACTTTCAGGGTTTGCCTATTTCCTCTCTCCTTGTGCACGCCACACCTATTTTTTAATTTTGACAAATTTCACAGTAACTGAAAAGTTCAAATGATTATGTAATGAAATACAGCATACCTTTCACCAATTATTAACATTTTGCCACATTTGTTTTTCCCGTGTATACAATTTTTTAAATTATTTTTTGACTGAACCATTTAAAAATAAGCTGCAGACATCACACATGGAATCTAGAGATAAATTTTTTCAAAGTCTTTCCAAGATCTGCCCTGATATATTTCACAATCGAAACTGCAAGCTGGGTATGAATTTCATCAGAGAGAGAAACGTGCCTAAATTCCAGCAAATATGAAATAATATGCCCAATATGTGTTAGCAATTCCAACCTCACT